AAATATTATTTTCACATGTTCAAGTGTTATAAAAAAAAAAAAAAAAAAAAAAACTTTTGAAAAAGTTAATTTTTATATTTGTGTTTTTAATAACTATATGTGTGTTTAATCATTTATCAATAATATAAAATACTTAATATTATTAATATAACAGAATAATATATATGTAATAAATAGTTGGACCAAACATTTATTAATTGGTCATGATCATGTTTTATAGAATAGATTATTTAATGACTATATAATATCATATAGTTTATATATATATATATAATATTTTAAATTTAAATATGTCACAAAATTTAGTGACATAACATGTATTATATCACGTTGTAGCAATGTTAACTACTACTATTTTTGGATCCATATAGTTAGTCATGGGTTAAAATATACTTTTTAATCATCTACTTCATTGATTTTCATCAAATTCGTGTTGTAGCTATCACATAATTATATATTCAATTAATATAGATGTGTTTCTTTCATAAACTAAAAAAATAAAATACTTTTCACAGAACTGATTTAATGGTTGATATGGGTCAATTCACCAGTCGCCACGGGACTCGACCACTAAACATAAACTCAACGTAACTCCATACAATCAGAGATATTAATTAATGATCATAACAATCAGAAAGTAAAAACTTTTTTGGCAGTTACAACTATAACGTGATCCAAATATTAGCAAAAAAAAAATTAGTGGTTAATGTTTAAATAAAATTACATACAATTATATCAAAAGAAGAAATAAGTGGCTCCTTAAATATAGGGGATATATAGTTGGACACAACATCTATCAATAGGGCACACTGCTATTTTAATAGAATAGATACAGTTCCCATATTTATTTACATCTTTTGTCTTTAACTAATTTTTAAAGAAAATATTAAATAAAGATAAAACTGAATATTTAACTATTTTTATGTTATGTCTTCCGTGATTTCAGAAAATACTGTTCATATGTATACGTGTAGCACACAGGGTCGACCCTGAGACTATGAGAGCCTATAGTTATTTATATGTAAAACAATTTGGGGGTTTAAAAGTTTTTTTAAGGCTTATATCCATGTAATGTTTTTCAACAAATTTAGGGACATGTAGCAAATGTTTCACTTAGCATAGACTTGATAGCACACTGAATGTAGTCGTATCTCATTTTCACGTCTTGCTATGAACATTTCTTTTTGCTTCTCTGCGGTGAATTTCGATGCGACTAAAAACGGACTCTATAAGTAAAATTTAAAATGTTTTGCAGGATCGAAGGCAGATGGGGATGGAGGCTGTCACTTGGTTTGGCGGGAATCCCGGCGCTTCTACTGATGGTGGTAGCTTTATTGGTGACGGAGACGCCTACCAGTCTCGTCCAAAGAGGTCTTCTCGATGAAGGAAAAACCGTTCTCCGTCAAATTCGAGGAACCGTTAATGTTGAACCAGAGTTCACCAATCTCCTCGAAGCTAGCAGTCTTGCCAAAGAAGTCAAACACCCTTTCAGAAACCTTTTTCAAAGCCGGAACCGGCCTCAGCTCCTAATCGCCATTGCTTTGCAGGTCAATAATCCACTACTTCTTTACTCAAAAACTAGGTGATAACCTGTGCCATGCACGGAGAGAATGGATTAAAAAATAATTACTTTTCATATATATTAAAATTTAAGAGTTAAAATCATAAATAATACATGTTATATAGTAAAAATGTAACAAAATTACATATGTTTATATAAGATAAAATTCAATTTTGTACAAACTTGTGTTATTAGTTAGATTTACTGAATTATAGTTCATAGAAGTAAATCTATAAGTGTAAGCAAAAATTTATATAAAATTAGTTATAATTTAAGAAAGAACAAAACATAGACAATAAATTTATTGATTTCTTAATAGAAATTATGAATATAAGATAAAACAAAACATGTGTAATAAAATAATAAAATATAAAAGGAACAAATTATAAAGAAACAAGTAAAAAAACTGAAAAAACTATTTCATTGGTCTCTTAAAAAGTAACCAAGTTCTAAAGTCTTATAACTTTCATCTTAATTTTTTACATAGGCTTCTTTGGCTTTAAGCCAGAGATAAAATTCATGACACTCATTTTATTTTCTAGTTTGAAATTTCTAAATTGTGTTACCTTAGATTAAAGTTTAATACTCCCTCCGTTTCAATTTACATGTCATTATAGCATAAAAATTTTATTTTTAAATATGTGTTGTTTTTTAATTTTAATGTAAAACTTTTTAATTTATATAATATTCTATTTTTATTGGTTTAAAAGTGTTTAGGTGTATAGGTAATTGTGTTTGTATCTTGAAATATATAAAATTAAATGTTTTCTTAATTTATGTGCAAAAACCTAAAATGACAACTAAAGTGAAATGGATGGATTTTGATATATATATAGCCATAACTGATAGGGTTTAGGCCACAAGAATTAAGTCAATCAAATATTCCATCGCGAAATTAATGACAAAATTTCGTGTATAATTTTTAACTAATCAAGAAAATTTTGTATAAATTAATAGTAACTTTCCTATATTAACCGAAAACGGATTGCATTATGTCGATTGCATATATTAGTTTCCAATAATTTATTTTATTGCATAAATTACGGTTAAATAGAAAATTATAAAAAGGAATCCAGTTTATATAGGGAACTAATATTATTGTCTGGCGATATTCAAAAAAAACATCAGTTCTCCCCTCTCCGCATTTATTTAAATTTTAGGGTCGATTTCTTCATTTATTTATTTTCATCATATAATGGTTGAGGTTTGGAACCAAATTAAATCTAGATAGAGTTCATATTGATTCCCTTTGCATTATATAACGGTTGAGATTTTTTCATAGTTAATTAAATTAATATATTGATGGCAATTATATTTACATATCATGTTAACATGTGGCTGAGCCAATAATAACTTTATATTAGTGAAGTTTTGATGTGTATTTTTATTTGAGTTACTATAGATTTTTTGATATGATTTCGGAGTTAACTAATACTTCCAAGATCAATTTAGATTGATTCTTGTGCAAAAGATGCTATATTCATTCCCTAAATTTAAGCTTGCCCATAATTAAGACTATATTTATGGGATCAACAATATATGTTATAAATCCGTACTATAATATATTCAAATTTTATAGTTATAATATCTATCGTTATGATATTTCCAAAATCCATATATGACTATAATCCATAGGTGAACAGTGACATTATATTTTTTTTAATATATTCACCCAATTTTTGAATAGATAACATATGTTTACACCAGATTATATTATATTATAATATAAATGTTAGAAAAAATAATGCATTTTTAGTGGAGCTCATCCAAATAATATATATACATATTATTTTAAACTAAACAAAAATGTTAGTAAATATGATCTGTTTGAAGGAAAAGTTAGTCAAAATATAGTTGAAACATAGCTATATATATGTATATATCTATATATAATTATATAAATGTTACAGAAAACTATAAAACTTAGTTATATATATATATGTAGAGGGAATTATAATATTAGAAATTATCGTACATCTCATGAATCAGTAAACTTAGGTATTTCAACATTTAAATGACAATTTAAAGGTTCATTTATAAATGGATTATTAGTAACATGATGTAAAATTATATCATAAGAAAACATAGGTTTAACGGCATTGAATTGTAAATACTCTAGTAAATTATGTCTATTTTTATAAATGGTATGAGAATGATTGTGAGGTTGCCACCTAAGTAATGGAAATTTTGTTAATTACACATGAAAATAAGGTTATTCTTTAAAATGTTCCCCTTTTAATATATAAGGGATTGAAGTTTATTTTTTAAGTTTAGGTTTGATTAATTTTTCCCCCTTTTTTGAGAAAAAAGCATGGTTTTGGTTTGATTACTTTGGATTTTGTTTTTCTATATAAAAGAAAAAAATAATAATGATCCAAATATTTATAAAATTCTATTGTCTTTTTCAGTTCTTTTCTTTATTTATTTATTTTTGATTTTTCGTTCGATTTGTTTTGTTTCAAGTTCGGTTTTAGTAAAAGTATTAGTAACCAACTAGATTTTTCAGAAGAAAATATCAAAAAATTTAAATTTTACATATATTTCAGGTAAATGTTTAGATAATTTATTTTTGGGTTAGATGTTTGCAAATATAAATTTTTGGTTTATAAATTTATTTTAGATATAAGTTTTAAGTAATATAACTAATATTTAAATATATAGTCAAAACTCTATAAATTAATAATCACTATAAATTAATTTTTTTAGTTCCGAGTTAAACTAGTTCAGAATATGACATAAATTGATAAAATAATAAGATAATAATTATTTAGTAAATTCTATGTAAATAGATAGTCTCATTAAAGTCATAAGTTAATAATTTATATGTATATATATATACATTTTATATAAATAAATATTATATTGTTGATTTATATTCACTATGAAATTATCCCTATTTTTCTTAATATTGCAGTATATGTTGATAATAATTAGTAAAATTATATCTTAAAACCACAGTAAATTTTAAAACATAAAAATATACATCAAATAATATAATAAAACAATATTAATGTCAAATTTCTAAAATTTGATTAATATACATACGATAAAATTCACTATGTTTTCTTATTTTATAAAAATATTTTTTTGTAATTTTATAACTCTAGAAACTTATGAAATAATATCATAGTCTCAAATAAAATGGTTTGGTTCGATCTTCGAGATTCAAATTTAATTAATATACATACGTTCGGACGTACTGATTAGGTTTCTTGATTTGGTTTGGTTCGATCTTCGAGATTCAAATAAAATGGAAGAGTAATGCTAAATTGGTGATTATTTGTTGTGTGTTGTTCATTACATAAAAGTGCAGATTTTCCAGCAATGCACTGGAATCAATGCCATTATGTTCTATGCTCCTCTTCTTTTCAGCACTTTAGGCTTTGGCAGTGACGCGTCTCTCTACTCTGCAGTGCTCACCGGTGCAGTCAACGTCCCCTCCACTCTAGTCTCTATCTACTTCGTTGATAAAGTCGTCGTCGTGCTCTTCTCCTTGAAGCTGGAATCCAAATGTTCTTTTCTCAACTCGTGATCGCAATTGTCCTCGGCGTCAAAGTCACAGACCACTCTAACAATCTTTCCAAAGGGTTTGCGGTTCTGGTTGTGGTGATGATCTGCACCTATGTAGCTGCTTTCGCTTGGTCTTGGGGACCGCTCGGTTGGCTAATCCCTAGTGAGATTTTCCCTCTTGAGACACGTTCCACGGGACAGAGTGTGACAGTCTGCGTCAACTTGCTCTTTACTTTCATTATAGCGCAGGCTTTCCTCTTGATGCTGTGTCATTTCAAGTTTGGGATATTCATCTTCTTTTCTTCGTGGGTCTTTGTCATGACTCTGTTTGTTATGTTCCTCCTTCCTGAAACCAAGAACGTACCTATCGAGGAGATGAGGGAGAGAGTGTGGAAGAAGCACTGGTTTTGGGCTAGGTTCATGGATGATCAAGATAACCGGCAAGAAGAGTAACAACAGGTGATTAACTACTTGGACCCTTAAAGATAAAGACTAAACATATTATACTAATGACTTCATACCACCCATTTAACCGGATCTCCATACATCTGGTTGAGGTTTAAAAATGGTTCAACAGATGTGGAAGAAAATACGCACAAGATTTAAATATATTCTTCATGACTTTTCCCTAAGAGGTTCAAGCCTAGATTTTAGTTCAGTTTATTTCAAATTAAAAGCTTGTTATCAACCATCTTTCAAAGAATTTCAAAAGCAAGAGAGTTTCATTTCATTGATAGCAAAGGAGAAAACAAACTCAAAGAACAGAAATGACGATTATACTTCATCTTATTACAACAAACATCAAACGTCTCTTTATTCATAATGTTGTTTGATCGATGACTAAGAAGTAGAGAGGTCATTAAACAGGGACAATGTTGGTCACTGAGATCTTAACCATTCCAGCTTCAAATATAATGGCATCATTCACTAAATACCCTTTAGATGTATCCTTTAAATCTGCCAAAAATATGATGTTGTTCACTCCCACACCATAACCGCTTCTAATCGGGTACCAAGCTGCAGCTGGAAAAGAAATAAATCATACTATCCAGCGATAACTTCTCCCGGAGAAATATGTTTACTTTTTTATTAGTTTAGTTTTCTTACAATATATTTGTCTGTGGTTGGAGGTACGTTGGTTCTTTAAGCGCAGATTAACCGCACCCCAAGTGTTTGTAGCAACTGCATTTGGTCTAAAGCCTTGAGCAAATAAGAAGATTGGAAGTGCATGTGGTCTGCCTCCTCCATCACCTTTAGGGTTAAAGCCTAGTCTCCTGATTATACATTAGCCAAAAACTGTTATCACAGTTCACATATTTTACGACTATATAATATGGTGATTAGAAATCAAGTCCTAACCAGTAACGGTCTCCAACAAGAAAATCATCAGAATAGTAGAATTTATCTTCCAAGCTGGAGAAACGAAGAATCTTCCAAGTGAAAACATTGTCTGGCGGGTTTGATATGAATGTGACTTTCTCTTGTTGCTCGGCCGGTTTAACAATGAGAATCTCAGCACCAAAAGAACATGTGTCCTGCACAATGTACCCTTCGTTCGTGTTTTCAATGTTGAAAGAGCAATCAACTGTCCGAATCCCCACTCTTTTTTAGCCGAGTCGGATCGCTTCACTGTTCCATCTGCAAGAATCCACAAATACAATCAAACTCGGCTTCTAGACTATGCAAATCGAATGGAGGATGAATGGTGAACACATACCTGTGACACCTAAGTGTTGGGGTCAAAATCGGTACGACGGAATCAACGGCCAAAATTCCCCGCAGAAATATAAAAGAATAATTTTATAAAACTCGAGAATATAAAACTCGAGAATCGTTTTATAAAACTCTAGAATCGTTTTATAAAACTCTAGAATCGTTTTATAAAACTCGAAGAATCGTTTTATACAACTTGAGAATCATTTTATAAAACTCGAAGAATCGTTTTACAAAACCGCAAAAAACCGAAACCGCCGTAAAACGCGAACTAGCCTCGTCCCGGCTACTTCGCCCAACGGCGAACTAGCCCCGTCCCGGCTAGTTCGCCCAACGGCGAACTAAGCCAAGCCGGCTTAGTTCGCCGTTGGGCGAACTAGAAGCTTCCCGACTAGTTCGCCCAACGGCGAACTAGCCTCGTCCCGGCTAGTTCGCCGTTGGGCGAACTAGAAGCTTCCCGGACAGTTCAACCGGTGACCTGGACCGGTCCGGCTCGGTTTGCCGTACGTCAAACCGACCATCCCAAACCTTGATCTCCCGCATCCCCGATTTAGTGCTTACGTCCTTCAACACGGTCGTGTTCCAAACCACGGTCAAAATGTCTCCCGTTTCGTCTCAATCCGACCTATCATTCGAGTTTTACGATAAAAACCATAAAACTTTGTTTTCTCAGAAAGAACTCGAGGAAATCGTATAAAACGGCAACGGTTAAACGAAACACCGAACATTGCCTAAATTATACGATTTATTCGAGATTTTTTGTTAAAATCATAAAAAACGCGTTTTTAATAAAAACGTCGAGAAAATCGTAAAAAACGGCAAACGATTAACCGAGAAACAAACGTAGCTAAACTTTACGATTAACTCGGGGAATTTACTAAAAATGGTATCGGATCAGGAAACGATCTCGTATAAAGTCGTAAAACGGATTTATCGTAAATGGCCCGAAAGGTCCTAAAATGCGATAAAATCCTATCTCGCGACCTTAACGAAATCTAACCCGAAGATTTGACAACGTTTTGATGGTTTACTCGCAGAAGGAATATAAATGGCAAGTTTGAAGGTAAATAGAAGATTTCCGCGGAAGAAAAGGAAAGATCAAGAAAAATGGAAGATTCCCGATAAACTCGAATTCGGGCGAACTGGAAAGACTAAAACCGCCTAGGAGGGGAGTATATAAGCAAGAGGCATAGGGCAGAAGCAGGGACACGATTTTCAGAGCTTTCACCGCAAAATTTAGCATTTAGGAATATTTATGTTTTCTGTTAGCGAGCTGGGGTTTTCGGTCTTAGACTTCTAGAGTTAGGGATTTCGCCGACGGCTCACGCAGCTAAGGCCACTCTTGTTGTAACAGTTCTTACGCAGATTCGGAATAAGAACCTTCTTGCTCTCAATCTCGTTCATTCTCTTTTAATTTTAAGTTCATTGTTTTCTTAATTATCGTTGTGCGGTTCTGCAGATAGCTGGGTCCTCTGGAAACTTAGGGTTTACTCGAAGTTTCCTTATTTACGATTTATTGACCGTAGGTGAATTTCGGTTCCCACACTAAGTACTTGTGTTGTTTTGGACTGTGGACAAAGAGTTTGAGATCCACGTTGACTTCCCAACCATATGGAAGTGATTCGGTCTCTTCCATCCTCACGTAAAGTGAAATATAGCCATTTCCACCGTCGTTTGGATTACCAGTCACGTACAAAACCAATCTCCTGTTTATTTTTATAAAACAATGTCATCAAAATAACATTCATACTTTATTATCTCGGTTGCTGCCTTGTGTACAGGGAGGGTTGATAATAAGTGATTCTTTGAACCATACTTCTATTGTCAATGGTGCTCGAGGTTCAGGAGCCACTATCCGTGTTTACCAACACAACAGTGACCATTTCTTATCCAGTTTGTTATCTAATTAACCTGTTGGAATACCTTCATGCTCTCTTGTTTATTGATTCTCAGCGCCTGCTCATTTGGAAAGAGTATTGAAAGAGAAAATTGCGGATGGACAACCTAGGACACAGACCCTAGAAGAAAATTATTGTTGTTGTTGAAGGTATTTACAGCATGGAATGAGAGATATGTCAACTGTCCGAGATTATCTCAGTATGCAATAACTATAAGGTGAGGTAACATGGTACACTATCTTTAATGTTTATCAACAATACTGGTGGAGATCAAGGAATTCGAGCAACTTAACTATTCGTTTGTGACTTCAAAATATTATTGATTAATTTGGTTTCTGGTGTGTAACTTCACTTCTTGTATGTCCTTGTTTCAGGCTTATGTTTACTTGGATGAACCTCACAGCATTGGAGCAATTGGGAAAACAGGCAGGGGTGTTTGTGAACTTCTTGGAGTTGACACAGCTGATGTGGACATCATGATGGGAACATTTACGAAATCTTTAGATCTTTTGGTGGCTATATTGCTGGATCCAAGGTTAGCACGTTTCAAAGATGAGAAAGGAGCTGTTTCCACTAAAGCCGTAATATTATACAAGAAACCATTTGATTTGTTTAGGGAAGTAGTGTGCTTCATCTCAAAATCTACCAGGAGCTTATAGCATATTTTGTGTGTTTCAATTTCTTTAGGACCTCATACAATATTTGAAGTACCATTGCCCGGCTCACCTTTACGCAACATCAATTTCAACTCCTTCAGCACAACAAATCATATCGGCCATAAAAGTTATTCTTGGGGAGGCGGTTCCAATAAAGGTACCTCTATAGTTTCTTTTTCTTTTTGAGCTTAATATTCTCAAAATTACTAAGAGACAACATAAAGTCCCAACAATAATGTGCACATTTGCTATTGTTTCTTAACAATATCTTTTACTCTAAAAATAATAATAAAAAAGCTAAAAATTCAAAATTAAGTCCCAGCAATAATGTTGCTCTAAGGTTGAGATTTAAAAATGGTTCAACAGATCTGAAAGAAAGTACCCACATGATTTAAATATATTATTCATGACTTTTCCTAAGAGGTTTTGGTTAAGTTTATTCCAAATAAAAAGCTTACTATAATGTTTTCGAATAGGTTGATGTTATCAAACGTCTTTCAGAAAAGTTAAAACCAACAGAGTTTTATTTCATTGATAACAAAGCAGAAAACAAACTCATAGAACAGAAATGACGATTACATCATAAGGATCAACAACTTCATTCATCTTATTACAAATACATTAAACGTCCCCATATTTATATGGTTGTTTGATGGGTACCCTTGTTTGATTGATGACAAACAAGTAGAGAGATCACTAAGCGGGTACGATGTTGGTCACAGAGACCTTAACCATTTCAGCTTCAAAGACAATTGCATCATTCACCAAATACCCTTTCGACGTATCCTTTAAATCTGCCAACAATATGATATTGTTCACTCCAACACCATAACCGCTTCGAATCGGATACCAAGCCGCAGCTGGAAAAAAAGAAGAAGAAAAACTATTAATTTTTTTCACCTATTTATTTCTCTTGGATATAACTACTGATTGGTTTAGTTTTCGTACAATATATTTGTCTGTGGTTGGAGGTACGTTGGTTCTTTAAGCGCAGATTAACCGCACCCCAAGTGTTTGTAGCAACTGCGTTAGGCTTAAAGCCTTGAGCATATAAGAAGATTGGAAGTGCATGTGGCCTGCCTCCTCCATCCCCTTTCGGGTTAAAGCCTAGTCTCCTGATTGTACATTAACCAAAAACCATTGTCACATATGGAACTATATAACACGGTGAGAAATCAAGTACTAACCAGTAACGGTCTCCGACGAGAAAATCATCAGAATAGTAGAATTTATCTTCCAAAGTGGAGAAACGAAGAATCTTCCAAGTGAAAACATTGTTTGGTGGGTTTGATATGAACGTGACTTTCTCTTGTAGCTCGGCCGGTTTAACGATGAGGATCTCAGCACCAAAAGAACAAGTGTCCTGCACAATGTACCCTTCGTTGGTGTTTTCCAATGTTGAAAGAGCAATCAACTGTCCGAATCCCCACTCTTTTTTAGCTGAGTCGAATCGCTTCACTGTTCCATCTGCAAGAATCCACAAATACAATCAAACTCGGCTTAACTATGCAAATCGAATGGAGGATGAATGGTGAAAACATACCTGTGACACCTAAGTACTTGTGTTGTTTCGGATTGTGGACAAAGAGTTTGAGATCAACGTTGACTTCCCAACCATATGGAAGTGATTCGGTCTCTTCCATCCTCACGTAAAGTGAAATATAGCCATTTCCACCGTCGTTTGGATTACCAGTCACGTACAAAACCAATCTCCTGTTTATTTTTATAAAACAATGTCATCAAAATAATATTCATTAGTAAATAATTTGAACAAATTAATAGAATGTTAAGATCATTTACCATTTGTAACCAACAGCTTCAAAAACAGAGGATTCGTATGGTTCGCCTCTCCCCTTAATCACGGAGTAGCCTGCTATTGTCACAATCTTACTTGATGGTCGCTCGTCTCTCAACACTCTTGTCACTCCTGTGAACAAGGTAAGTTTTCCAAGAAAATCAAGAACTATGTTTCAGTGTTTTTACTTTTAAAAAAAAACTCTTTTTCAGTGTTTTACCAAAAATAAATTAAAAAAAAAGGTTACAGACCACAAGCTTACCAAGATTAGCTTCAAGACTGTAAGAACTGTTGATCTCTGTTTCTCTGCCTCCTATGACCTGGAAATGTTTTGTCATATTGTTTAAACCTACTTATTGGTAATAGATCGAGAAAGTACTTCAAAAATAAACAAAAGAAGGAAAGGAAACACTACCTGTTGAATGAGGAACTCAGCAGAAGAGCAAGTGATGAAGAGAAATGCTAGAGATATGAAACCCAAACTCCATTTTTGACCGTCCATTTTTTTGAGATGTGATGGTTATTGGTCTCGGGATGGCTTTACATTTATATAGACAGGCGTATAAGGTTAGTTGTTGAGTTGGTTTACATATATAAAATTCTAAACGTGGTCTCATCGTGGGAAAAAAATATTGTCACATATTTTGTTAGTGAAAGTTGGAATTTATTTATTTTTTAAGAAGATTAAACTTTCAAAATGGATGATTCATTTAAAGATCACATGACTGAAACCAAGTCTTGCGGAGAGTTTTCCTTCTTTTTTTAATGTTGATTGTATTATTTTTGTTTATTTGAATGTGCAAAGGATCAGATTCGATTTAGTTTTGTTATTTTATGTCAAGTACACTCACCCTGTTGTTAAACAATATGTGTAATGGAACTGCGGAAGATGTAGATGAAGTAGTGATGGGATATCTTCAATATATGATTTTTGTTTTATTCTGTTGGAACGTTTTACGCATTATTACTTATATTAATTATATAATTGCATGATCGCCTCAATGTCAGGTAATATCAGTATCATAGAAGATTCACACATATTGCATATATTTAATTTAAGTTATGTTCATAATAATCAACTTTTAAATAGAAAAATAATAACTCCCACGTTCAGTCCTAGCACCTTTGGGTCCACTAGGGTCTGTGGAAATGTAGAGAATACAGACTCAAATTATTACCAGCAGTCACAGAATAATCGAACAACATCTTGAGAAAAGCTTTCAAAAAATAAAATTATTACCAACAATATCAAAGATGACGGGGAACATAGCCGGGACAGCGGGACTGAGCTCAATCGGACCAAGCATGCGGTCCTTTTAAGTGTCTATATGATAGAGAGCGGAAGCTATGAGTTAACATTGGATCAAAGGTTAAAGTTTAGATCAAAGCTTCAATCTGGTTCTTATACCAATTAAAGTTGAAAGAACACACAAATATAAGAATTACTCTTTTTATTAGATTTAGAAATTCTCTCAGAACTAAATCATTGTGTTTATCTTTTTCTTCTCTTGATCTAATCTTTTAGATCTTTTAAATGATGCAACATTTCTCCAACTCCTTATATAGGTCAAAGCTACATCTAAACCTAATAATAATATGGAAACATTCCTAAACTCGATATGTTTTCCTTAACTTACTAAACTCCCTTTTAATAAGTTAATTTTCTCCTTAAGTTAATTGGAATTACACAACATTCTCCCCCTTAATTCCATCTTGAATCTCGGGCTTGTTGATCTCTTGAACTTTTGGTGTGTGCATGACTTCGATGTGATCATCTTCTACATACTCACGGATGAAATGGTACTTCAAGAGTATGTGTTTGTTTCTCCCATGAAACATCGTCTTCACATCAAATTACTTAAGCTCCATGTCATGACGTGCTACCAGTGCTAGCAACTCGTTGATGGAAGTGTGTCTAACCATCAATGAGAATATCTCGTTGTAGTGTACTTCCTATTTCTGACTAAAACCTCTTGCAACAACCCGAGCTTTATACTTAACTTCTTCTGCCGATGATGCTTCATCTTTAAACTTGAAGACCCACTTGAAACCTATCAGTTTCACACCTGCCGGCTTCTTGACGAGCTTCCAAGTCTTGTTTTGATGATAGATTCGATCTCTGCCATCATCACATCGATCCATGCTTGTATCGATGCAGCTTCGATGTAAATTTCTTGTTCACCATCTATGGCGAGTAAGATTATATCACCTTCAACTTCAGCAAGTAGAATGTAAGCATCAAACCGCTTTAATTTTGCTGATGTTACAGACATATCTCAATGTTACATGCTGGTCTTGGTTCGCAACGTTATTCTCTGCTATTTGTTCTTCTTCAGTTGCAGCTTCAAGTTCTTCTTCTTTTGCAGCTTCAAGTTCTTCTTCGGTTGCAGCTTCAAATTCTTTTTCTTCATTGCTTTCTTCATGGTTCTGGTGATCATGATTCTCAACACCATCCCCTTCTTCAACCATATTCTTAGTGACTTCAAAATTTCCATATCTAAGCCGTGCATGCCACATCCATGTAGCATCACTTTCTTGTACATAAAGGCACTTCGAGTAGTCTATCTCAATTGGTGTCTTCTACAAACGGTTTGACGATCGTAAGACTTGTACTAGCAATCTTCCCTGTGGATCCTTAAGAATTAAATCTCTTTTCATATTAACCTCACAACCCTTCTCGGTTGCTTGTCCAAGACTTATGATATTATGCTTAAGGTTTGGGATGTAGTAGATGTCTTTGAGTGTTCTTCTCTCTCCGGTATTGCCTACGAACGTGATTGACCCTCTGCCTACGATGTCAACAATTGATCCATCATCAAATTTGACCTTACCTTTGATGCTTTCATCAAGACTTGAGAAGAACTCTCTATTCCCCATCATATGGTTACTTGCACAATTGTCAAGATACCATATGCTTGTGTTTCCATCGCTTACATCAAACCTTTTAGGGAACACTCTTTCTTCGTTGAGGAAAGCAACTTCGTGCATATATAATGCATCTACTTCTTGTGTTTCTGTTATGTTAGTTTCTTGGTCTTGTGTAGGTCGTGTAGGACAGACTGATGTGAAGTGCTCCATCTTGTCACATCTCCAGCATTATACTTTGGAATAATCCTTCTTAGTCTTCTCAGAAGCTTATCCTTCTTCTTTGTGACTAATGAATCTTCTGCAACCTCTACCCATGTTACCATAACCTCTACCTCTTTTTTGGTAGCCATTGTGTTCTCCACGACCTTGCGTAGCATTGTTTACAAACATTAGCTTCGATTGATCTTAATTTTAGGTTTTTTGTTTGATGCGCTCTTTGAAAGTTTTAATCTCCCAACAGCATCTTCGAAGCTTGCTGATTTAGATCAAGTAGTTGTTCTAGAAAAGCTACGATGTGTATGAACTTGTTTGTAGGAATTCCATCTAAAAACTTCTTTACCAGCCTTGGTACATCCATGATTTTACCTAACGCAGCTGACTTTGATGCTACGCCCGCTAGTTTTCCTGCATAATCATCCACCGTGTCTGCATCTGTCATCTTCAGTTTATCGAACTCAGACATCAAGGTCTGTAACCTCGCTTCTCTCACGCGATCAGCACCTAGGTTACGTGATTTGATATCATCCCAAATCGTCTTTGATGTATCATGTTCTCCAATTTGAAGAATCAACGCTTCTGGAATCGACTAAAAGATTAGAGCAATCGCAGCATTGTTCTTCTTCAAATCGATGTTCCTTGATTCGATAGTATCCCAAACTTCATATAAACGAAGCAACATCTTCATCCTTATCGACCAAACGGTGTAGTTGGTTGATGTAGCATCGGACATCGTATGTCCTTCTTCATCTCAAGACCTTTATCACGTACTTGAGAAGCGTCATCGTCTCCCATGTTTTGATCGAATTACAACTCCTCTTGTAAACGATTTCGAAACCTGGAGGCTCTGATACCAATTAAAGTTTAGATCAAAGCTTCAACCTGGCTCTGATAGAAATTAAAGTTGAAAGAACACACAAATATAAGAACTACTCTTCTTATTTTCTTATTAAATTTAGAAACTCTCTCAAAACTAAATCAATGTGTTTCTTTTTCTCTTCTCTTGATTAACTCTCTTAGATCTCTTAAGGGATGCAACATCTCTGCAACACCTTATATAGGTCGAAGCTACATCTTAACCTAATAATAATATGGAAACATTCATAAGCTCGATATGTTTTTATTTTTCCTTAACTTACTATAAACTCCCCTTTAATAAGTTAACTTTCTCCTTAAATTAATTGGAATTATCCAACAAAGGTGTTCACCTAGAATTCGGTAACGTATTCTTGAAGTCGAGTTAAAAACAAGAACGATACACGTGAATACTCTTCACAGTGTTTGTAAAAGCTCTTTAAAAATCCAAACCTTAATTCAATATCAATGTGTTAAACATAAAGTCATCAATGTCCTATATATAGCTATCTAATATTCCTAGTTTTTAAATCAAAAGGATATATAATTATCCTAAAAACAAAAGGAAACCAACATAAAAGTAAAATAGAAAAGTCCTAATACTCTTTGACAAAGGCATGATGAATTTGGTGCATGCTACGCTGCATCAGGTCCCCCAGATTGAGAAAGATTCGCTCACGAATCTTGGAGGTCATTGTCGCCTTGGAACGGAGACAAATGTTTGACGTTGAACACGTCTGAAGTACGCAGATGAGAAGGTGATGCGCTCGATGACTTCAACCGGACCAATCATTTTGGACTTAAGGCGTTCCTTTGTTAAGTATACACATACAAGATCACCCGGCTCGAAAATAAGCTCCCTCCGTTTTGCGTCAGCCACTGCTTTGTATTTTGTGGAAGCCAACTCTAACTGATGTTGAGCCAGGTTGTGGATGTCATGTAGATCAGTGATGAAGTCCAAAGCCTCACCATGATGACGAGTCTTATCCGGTGTTGTTGTCAAATCAAGTGGTCCGTGAGGAACAAGGCCGAAAACAACTCGATTTGAAGCATGATTATACGCGAATTCTGCCTGGCAAAGCTTAGTGTCCCACATCTTAATGTTTTCACCTACGAGACAATGAAGAAGATTACCAAGAGAGAGATTAACAACCTCTGTCTGGCCATCAGTTTGTGGGTGGTAAGCCGTTCTCATTTCAAGAGACGTACCCAACAATTTCCACAAAAATCGCCAGAACTGACTAAGGAACCGCGTATCCCCGTCTGAGACGATAGAAGTCGAAAGCCCATCCAGCCTATATATCTCCCGGAAAAATAACACAGCAACACTAGCTGCATCCGTAGTTTTTTTGCATGCAATAAAATGTGCCATTTTTGAAAACCAGTCAACTACCACGAAGATAGAATCGTGACCTCGCTGCGTTCGTGGAAGCCCCAAAACAAAATTCATACTAACATCAGACCACAGTTGCGTTGGAATTGGTAGTGGCAAGTATAATCATGCATTCGATGCTTTACCTTTAGAGAGTTGAAAAGTACGGCACCGTTCATCGAAGCGCTGTACGTCT